TAAATTATATATCAAAATTATAGGAACTGGTGTGGACACACACTGCCAGAAAAGCCAATTTTTGTCAGTAATAAATCTCTCAGTCAACTGAAAGATGACTAACTGTTGTAACCATCACAGAATCCGCGATTGAAAATTACAGATAAAAATTCGGTGTTTCTTCGGTCTATCTAATCATAAATTAACTGAATATTTGGACCGATCACACATTAATTTGCAATTTTTCATCTGCATTTTTGCCCGAAAAATAGGACCATTTTCTCTTACCAAAATGGACTGTTAGTGATTAGTTTCATATACAATACAACGTCTTTGAAATATGCAGATAAATTTAAATTGTTCGCATGCCACAAAAGGCCATTTTTGAACTTGCAATAAAAACAAGCAAATTCAAATTCCAAAGTCGGTCCAAAGTTAAACTGTTCCGATTGTGTGTTTCGAATTATCTGCTAGTGTTTGGAAAATTGTTTGCATGTTCAATTTTAAATCAAATTGTTGTAAAATAAGTTATTAACAAAAAGCGATGCAAAGAACTGAAATTTTATGATTTGTGGTGTAAAAATTGCATGTTTTTTCAGTTAAAGATTTGGTTTTTTCAATAAATCGTTTGCAACGATGTATTTTGTATTATTTTCCGTTTTTTTTTCATTATTTGGCGCATTTCTTGTAATACTTACTTCGCAATCTTCATCTTCCACGGCAATATTGGCAAAAAGCGAATTTTCAGTCATTTGATCGTAAGGAAGTTCGAAACTGCGCTCCAATTCATCGTTGTGCAGGTCATAAATCATCAGAGTGGTATTCTTTAAAGCCTTGGCACTTTCTTCTAGAATGCCCTATTGGAAATGACAAAAAAATTGTTTTTTACTATTTCAAAAGTGTTTTTGCATCATTTTCTCGACAAATAAGTAGTTTTATACCATGGTTCTCCGTATAATTATTTTCTTTACTGTTGCTTGATATACAGGGTGTTTGGTGAGTCGTCACATTTTTTTGCAAGAGATGAAAGTACCATAAATTTTCACTATGAACACTTAGTTATTTGCAATCTACAGGATCTTCAAATATTAATTCACAAGTTACCAAAAATCGAGAAACAAGCAACTTAAAACAGTACAAGCATAATGGGTGGTTTTTTGGTTTGCCTGCCACATCTAAAGATATTGCGATCTTTTCTCGAGCATGCAAAATTTGCGACTGCTTTGCGAAGATTTACATGAAGATTGTCCAAATTTTCGATCAAAACAGTAAACTTCTGTTTAATATTTCAGAAAATAGACATTTATGAGTGTTAACGATTTACTCCCGAGTTGCAGGCAAAGAAAAACCTTCAGCTTGTAGACAGCGACCTTCCTGAAAAATCTCGGCAAAGTGTAGGATAATAATTGCATAAACGTTTACCTCTTCGATAGTTCTTCAATACATATTCATCGCGTGCAATCAAGCGATAGAATTAACGTTCTTTCTGTCGCCTGTGAATTGTTTATTGCACATTGTTTACCAATATGTTGTTGCGTAATAACACCTGAGTTTATGCAGGTGATTTTAAAAAATTCACTGAAAAAACATTTTGTACCTACTTCAATGCCGGTATCTAAAACCCACAATCTTCCGCATTGATCCGCGCGAATTCTAAAGGGCGAGACGATCTCAGGCGAATCATCGGAAAATGATCGGTGAGCATCCCAGTTGGGGTAAGGCTTCAGTAGCGGAGAATCCATCGGATCTAATTTATAGAAAATAAAACGTTAATTTGTTATCTCAACTTTCGATCTGTGCGAAAAAACTTCCTTGTTACCGTTCTCAAGACCACTTCCCGGTCTCTAAGAACGTCCTTAACACAGATTAAACTCTTAGTCGTTCTGCACTTAACACGGCCTTATTATGCATTGTTGTTTATAATTACTCGTTAAAAACGCATTATCAGATTCCGTAGGCATATTTAATTTTTAATTAGGCCTGTTAATTGGAGTGAAAATTGGTAACATTTCTAGGCCATAGGATCTGCAAGGAAAAATCTCCCGTTCAAGTAGGAAATAATTGCCAGTACGTTTTGAGTTTTTGGAAATTGCGCAATTTTTTTCCGTCTGGTGACATTCAGAAATTCTTTGAGCACTTAATGCACGAGTGATGGATAAACTAAATGAGCTCATTTATCTTATCAGTACGTGAGTGCATTGCAAAGAAACCGAATAAGTGAACTGTCTCGCGTCAACAGACTAATCTATAATATTTGCTGCCGTTTGTGCTGATAAACAGTTTCCAGCGATCAAAATAACTTCAAAACCCACCCAACAGTTCCCTCGAAAAGTGCCTAAAAGCTTACCCTTTGTTCTATCGATATAAGCCAATGAAGCGGCCACACCGGCTTTCCATCGCGGAACTGTGACAAAAATCCTGTTCTTGTAAACTTCCAGCCCCAATGGAAGATTATTCTCGGGAATAAAGGACTTGTCCGCTATGGCTTCTTCTCGCTTTTCCACGCTTCCATAGTCAAAGTCCAAGACTTTCCACTGATAGGAAATGTTGAGCTTGTTGGAGGCAACGAAGACGACGCAGACGAGAAACAGCAAACTGTTTCTGGCCAACATTCTGAAAAGTAAAATAATCCAAATGGAATTCAAGTCGTTCTAACTGAAAATGTCTAGTTTGATTCATTCAAACGCATTGAGGATATCGACAAAACATTAATGTTTCACACCCTCAGGCTTGAATGGTGTTAATTCGTCAATGTTTTTAGGATTCTTTAAAGGGGATGGATGCACCTGGTGTGGAAATTCGATAGGCCGTGAAATGTGGCTTTTATCCAGCTGTGGAGCCACATGCACTTTTCCAGAATTTACTTCATTGTTCAACACGAAAAGAACACATAATTTACATGTGAAAAATTTCACCCATTGCAAAATTTCTGGTCAGAATTGCGCCTCAAACCTCCAGAACCCCGGGGCGTTCTGCCCAGTCTTCCCCTAGACCAATATTTAATATAAAGAATCATTTTTTTGAACCAGTGTGAAAAATGATATTAAGGCCATTGATTGGTTTTAACATTAGCCTATGCCTGAGCAAAAAAAAATTGTTTTCTTTAAAATAAAAAACAGTACTGCTAAATTGGCGTTCAGCCAAGAGACAAGGTGTCGCATAATAGTGACATAATGAATAATTGTTTAACGACGCATTTCAACACATTTGCTGCTTGTTTGAAACTGAATTGTTTAAACCCGAAAGTGGTTATTGATTAGCATATTTCAGCCAATGGAACACCACGCTGTATTTGCTCTATTTTGTCCTCAGAAATCAGGTTTTGCGAGCAAAATATTCATCTCAAAGACACATATGAGATATCATATACAACGAAGGAAACGAGCTCCAAGCAGTGATAAACCTCCAAGTCCACCCGACCTTGTGCCTATTAGCCAATTTAAAACTATCAAAGTCAAATTATTTTTTACGGTAGCGCTTTTCGCTTGCTGGTTAGTTATAGTTGAGTGAGGCGGTTTAGAAATGCATGTATAAGAACTTGAAGCAGTGGCAAGACACATAAATAGCCACATAATTTATAACTGATTTAATTTTTACTGTTTCCCACTGGTACAAATTCGTGTCAGAAAAACTTTTGACGATTGTTTTTTTACATTTATTTGGGGGGGTTGAATGATCGAAATCTATTCAAACACGCTGTATATAAAGACAATGGAAGTGCAAACGTCTGGCGACGTAGATAATTGATAACTCAACTGCATTCCGATGCAAATGGGGCAATTATTAAATGATATTAAAATTAGGTCGCAGTTGAATATTTAAACTAGAAGATTCCAATTTATTTCGTTCTAGTAAATAATGGTTACATTAGTGCGTTCATTGAAAACACATAATTACCAGAAATGCAATTGTTCTATCAAAGATTAGCATCCAACAAGGAATATTAAATTAAATAAGGCATTTGAGAGAAGGCACTTAAGAACTCATTAACATAAAACAATAAAAAGTAAAAGTGTTGAAATCATTTCCTAGGAAGTTTCTTCAGCCATTCAATAACGTCTGACAGTCACGATCTCATATGAAGCCAAATGAACACCTGTATTGACAACGGAATTTTAAACAGGAGAAAAACAGTTACAAAATATCATGTTGAATATGAGATTTAAAAAAAGCAACGAAAAATGAAACATTGCGAAAACAAGAGCTTAAAGCAAATAAAAAATACGATGGGTTTTGGGTCGCTTAACTGGGTGGATGACCAGTTGAGACCAACTTCAGTTTATTTTATACTATTTCAAATCTGATGTTCTGTGCGATTTTCTGAAAGATTTTGCTGGTTTTAGTTCGTTTTTACTGATGCTTTGTTCGGTGCGTTTTAACGATATATTTTCAGCCTCTTGGCCACATAAAACTAGATACTAGATAGATCATTGAATTAACTTATAGGACTTCAAGCTACCTATAGGAAAAGATATGCAAACATGCCAATTTGGCTTAAAAACAAAATAATCGACCGTTCGCCCACACTTCGTCTTGACAAATACTTACAAACAAAACGTTTTAACGGCAGGAAAACAGCCAGTTTATTCACGGACGTCACTAAAGCATTTGATAATGAAGCTTTGTGAACTTTAAGCATCAAAATTCGAAACTTTAGAGCATCAGAAACTTAATGGAAAACAGAAAACTTTAAGTCGATAACACAATTTAAAAATCCTAGAGTTTTTCTCTCGCTCTGCAAATAATTTCGAAAAATGTCTTCCTCACATCAATTCAACAATTCTTTCCACATCTAAAATCTAAAAAGTAATCAACCTCTTTATATTTCAAGAATAAAAATCACATTCTACATTCTGAAATGTTGGTGTAAGGAAATACTATTTAAACTAAAAAAAATATAAACAATTTCAATTTTATTATTTATTAAATAAAAAAAACACAGTTTGGAAATCTTGGAGTTGTCTCTATTCTTTCTTCACTTATATTTTCTCACATTATTTTTCAATTAGAAAGAATCAGAGGCATATTTCTCGATAGTCAAATTTTTTATTTTTACATGAATCCGATTTTTATATGGAAATTAAAATTATTTATATAACTGTATACGCTGCATATAAATTTGCAAAAGCGTCTTCTTGACTTCAATTCGACAGTTCTTTCTACATCTAAATCACAAAAATCTATCAAATTGTTTATGCTTTAGAAAAAAACACTGTTCTATATTCCAGTAAACATATCATTTAAACTGATAAAAATAGAAACAAGTTTTGTACTTGCCAAATAAAAAAGACGCAGTTTAAAAATCTTGGAGTTTTCTTTTTCCTTTCCGCGTTAATTTTTTTTTCAAAACTGTTTTTCAATCAGAAATAACTGATTTTTGGGAAAAAAATGAGTTTTAAAATGAAGCCAAATGTTACAATCCATTTTTCAAAGCTGGAAGCTCTTAAAAAAAATTAAGCCCGCGAAATCTTCTTAGTAAATACAAAAAGCTTCTCTTTAACATTGTAAATCAACTGCTATACTTCTAGCATTTTGGTAGGAGTTGAAAAAAAAATTACGGAAATGAAACTTATTGTAGCGTAATAACCACCACAAAAATGTGAAAAAATACTAAACAACGCAATTCGACGGTTTGTGTTTAATCTAGAACCAAACGGAAATATACATGAGTCCTTGACAATATATTCTTCATGGTCATTGTTGCTGATAAAATGTAAAACATCGACTTATGACTAATTGGTCGTTTTAAAATGAATGTTTAAAAATTGTACATTTTTATACAGCGATAGTTTACTACAATTTTTGATAAAATTACTTTTAGGTAATTTGCATCTACGACAATTACATGTAGCTGAGACAATAAAAAAGTACAAACAAGTAGAAGTAAAAAAAGAACAGAAAAACTTCAAGACATAAATATAACTCCCAAAACATGTAATTTACTTTGTCAATGCAGGTTTTTGCAGGTCAAGGCTAAACCCATCTGATGATAACTAATAGGATCGAAACTGGTACTTGCATCCATCCAAAATAAGACACATTAAAACATTTTCCGTTTACACTTTGATAAATTATAATTCCTAATGATTTTAAACTTTAAACTGATATGCAAGAGTATAACATCTGAATCTCTGCAATCTGGGCTAACCTTATTCAACACCAGATAAATTAATTATCTATTGAATAATATTGAAGGTAAATATTGCCTCCAGTTCTACATAAATTCCTCTGTCAAGGTAGTCGGTTTTATAATCTGAAGTGTGGTTTTTCGCTGTTTTAAATCTTGTAATAACTAGCTGGAAAATCGCCCCACATATAATCTACTTGTACCGCCTTTCTTAATTACTCTGATCAATAACTCGGTTTTTATCAGGGGGGGTTTCGGATTTTGCAAACCACCAAACGCTAAAGAAGAATTTGAAGTCGAAATTGGGAAAAGTATTCGGTAAATTAAACTGCGGATTTACCGCTATATGATTAACATCATCAACTGTTTGCACATGACTATTTGCTACAGCCTGAATGATGTCATGGTTCATCATCTACCAGTGTGTTTTTTGGGCATTAAAATCTAGATTTCCACTCTTTCTCACGCTTTAAAAACTCAGTGAATAATTGGCAATTAATCCAATTAGGAGCTGTAGTTAAATCACGGTGTTAAGCAATTAGAAAAAAATTCAAGATGAATCGACGGTCTAAGACAGCGAATCAATCAAATATTTAATTAATGATTAATAGTAAACGAAGAAAGTCATGGTAAAGGTTAGACGCCAGCGACATTTGTTTCGATTTTGCTGAAGTGTTTTCTTCAATGTTACGAACAAAGCAAGACAAACAAAACACTGGGAAGAAGCAGATAAATGAAAGTTTTCCCATAGAGGTCACAATTAATATGTAAAACTTTGAAAAATTGCGTGTTTTCGCCTAGTTAATTGTTTCTACTCACATTTCAGCACTTGGTTAAATTAAGCCTTGCTTTTTTGAGCAACGTAAAAGTATCAAAATCTTGCAGACCCTAAAGAAATTCAGTTAATTTAGGTGAAGACGTCGAATGTGTGTACAGCGAATCAATAAGGCATTTGAGTGATTTATTCAAAATAATCAAACGTTTAACGAAAATTGACAAAAAAAAATAGTAAAAGTGATTTTGTGTCAGAAAAATTCAAATGCTGGGTTTTTTCAATTTTATTCCAAATTACTCTGAACAAATGGTTGCTTAAATTGCCATCAAAATAATGGAGAAACCAATCAACACATTCAAAATAAAACAATTAACAAATGCATTGATAATTGGTAAATCAACTGCTTTTAATGGTTTTATAATTAAGGGTTTTTAATGCTGATGAACCCTTAAAATATGGGTATTACTTAGCAAAAGTCAAAGAGAACATTTTGTATGTGCATATTAGTCTTATCGGCTTTTAGGGTTCATTTGAATTAATATGAATTTAAACGGTAATGCTTGTAAAAGCACTTGACGCAACTCTTTTCTGTTTTGTATTCAATAGATTTTGATCTTAATCTGTGAAGTAAATGTTTCCACTAGGTACATGAAACGGAAATGTTTCAATACTAAAATCCTAAGTTTAGTCAAGTCTAAATCCGGAGTGTTAATTCAATTAAATTCCCCGTTAATCTTGTGTTAATGGTGCTTGACAAAGCCAAACACCGATTGTTACACGCAGTATACACAACAAAATTTCCTGTTCAGCCCATAAATCCCAAGAAATCTAAATCATTTATTGCGTAAGTTGGTGGGCAAATTAAGCGAGGAACAGGTCCAAATCGCCAATTTTTATTATAAGAATACTAAGCTTAAATGCGTCTAAATTCTCATATATTACAAGAAAGTTATCTGGTGAATATCATCATTAGTTGCAAAGTGGTATTATCGCACGATTAAATTTGCTTAAAATAATTAGGTACGCGACCTAAGGTCAAACTTTAGATTCTAAGGCTAAAAGTCAATAAACAATCAATGCAAAAATCGTTCAACAATTTCACATAAGACTTGTATAAACATATAGAAATTGCCAAAAGAGTTACAATTTTGCGCTCCGCAGCGACCATCTCTGAAGATGCAAGTCACTTGTGCTTGCGAAACTTTAGGAAAATATTATATTTCACTACGCTCTAAAACTACCACAAAGTCAACAGTTTAAAAGTCAAATTTCCCACTCGTCATAATTTATTACAAAGTGTTTTCGACAATATCAAATGACACAGAAGAAAAGGAAGAATAAGACTGAGAAGACTAAGAAATATTTTCGAACAATAACTTCCAATTCTAGAATGAAAAGGACGCAACTTCTTCGAGCGCCCTGTACAATGGCAAATGAGCGCAAATCCAAAAAAAATTATGAGGAACCTTTAGGAAAGGCGACATCTACTCTGCTAGATTAAACGGTTTTGCTTTGACCAGAACGCCTCGAAGACTTTGAAACTGAATCTACGAAATATAGACGATGAAGGCCTTAAAACACGCAATGGCCAAAGTAGGTGTTCAAAAAATATGTTGATATTTTGCGGTCAACCCAAAGATACGATGGTTTGCTGCGGACAAGATATGACATTTTGCTGAGCGATTTAACAAGCCCAAACTGTTAGTACCTGTATGTGTTTTTTTCTGGTAAATCGTGCCACTAAAGTATAAAACTTGCTGGTGTTAATCGCGAAGAACTGTTTGACCGGGGCCGAAAACGACGCACATGTGAGCAAGCACTAGGCACCAAATCTGGTATGCGGTATGGTTATGGGTACGGCTCTAACTGGACTGACCTTACCGCCGCCAAGTATTTCTTAAGCATATCATGCCGACCGTTTCATGAGTGAAAGTAAACTTAACACTTTATGACCGGTATTATTTCTGCCAGGCTTTAGATCAATGTAAATTGGATTTTTATTGTGGGGTTTAAAAGTTGGAATTTTAACTTGGTGACCACACAGCAGGCTGCTTACAGTTTTACTACCCAAAGAACGCGCAACTTTGGGCCCGATCGTTTTTGCCAGAAAATGGTCAATTCCTAGTGTTTGACTGGAGGAAGATTTCAGAAGCGTATTCGAAAAACGCACAAGAGACTCAAAAATTCATGAATCTACTGGTTTTTCGTAATTTTCCAAAAATGTTTTGACACTGTGGAAAAGCGCTCTCATCATGCTGGAGCATCAACTTTTCAAACAGTCTTTTCGAATAAGCTGTTTTTTGCCACAAGTCGCATTCAACAAGTTTTTCGGCAATTAATTTACTTTTAAAACCTTCAGCGTTGCGCTTGACAAAGAATCTCTCACAGAAACTCGACATTTCTTGATATTTCACTGCTATAGACTTCAACTACAATGAAACTGGTGAGTTTTTCCGGTTCTTAGGCCGTCGCGAAATAAAAAAAAACCAATGAAAAATATCTATGAAGTTTCGCAAGCATAAGTGAAAACCTCACAACTTCTGAACGTGCAAGCCACTCGTACTTGCAAAACGTCAGGAAAAAATATTTTCCAGGGCGAAATATTTTTTATGTACCTGCAGAATCAGCAGTATAATGAATCGCTGTGTTCGAGAACATATGTTTGTGTGCGGATTTCGAAAGTCGATGGACTGAATATATTTTTTGATTCATTTTAAGTAGTAAAACTCACTATTTTTCTCAATTTACTTAGCCATTATTAAATACAGCAGATCAGTATTTTTACAATTTATTTGTAAATTTTTCGTCAATTGGCAATTTTYCATCGGCTTTTTTGAAAGACSCGCTCCACTTTGTAAAGCTTTATTTGCTTTATGTGAGGTATATTTTCTTAAATTGATGTCTAAAGATTTCGTCATTCAGCCATTTTGCACAGGCCWATTTTCTCTTTTATTTTCCATGGCCATTTCTCAATAATCAAGCGACATTCGRCGGCTGATTTGAGTAGTCGATAGAGGAAATTTCTCGGTTGACTGTAAAAATATCATTAGATCGAGTGAAGTAGTTCCTAAACCGAATTTGTAAAGTTTTATTMAWTTGSATTTTCTGCCGCAGTTCYGTTTTACCTCCATTTCTCAATACTGAAGCGAATTTCATTATTTATTTATTATTATTAAGGTAGGAAGGATTAAGTAAGGAAAACTTTGTGGCGATTCCACTGCATTTAGCGAAAAAATAATTTTTCTAAAATGTATTTGTAAAGTTTTCCTCATTTAGTCATTTGAAGCTTTGTTTTAGTAACCAAACTAAATAAATATGGCAGGATTTSAGAAGTCGATAWAGGAAACTYCTCGGTAGTCTTTGTAAAACATTCATTCATTGAGTGAAGTAGTTTTTCTGAAATGTACTTGTAAAGTTTTCTTCATTTAGCCATTTTGTAGCAACATTTTTCAATGGACATTTCTCAATAATCAAGCGAAACATCTGTATGATGAAGAACAAGGAAAACCACCTTAACAAAGAAAACTTCTTCGAATTTGTGAAACTTTCCGGATGAGCCAAATGTTTTTGTAAAGTTGTCATTTGAAATAGTTGGCTGCGAAATTCAGTTGTTGATACAAGAAACTTCTTGTTTGCCTGTAAAACTTTCATAGCATAAAGAAAAGCAGTTTTTCTGCAATTTTAGTAGCGAAGTTCTGCTGATTCAGCCATTTTGCTGCAATAGTAATTTCTCAATAATCAAGCGAAATATTTTGGAGCGAATTTTAAGTCGATAAAGAAAACTTCTCGTTCTAGTTTGGAAACCGTTCATTACATTGAGCGAACTATTTTTTCCGCTATTTACTTGCAAACTTTTCTTTATTTGGCTATTGGGAGCAGCCAATTTCTGATCGTATTTTATAAGGAAATAAAGGAAACCAATAGCTTGGCGTTGGAAACTTTGAGTATATTGAGTGGCATTTTGAAGCATCTTTTTTCTATGATTATTTCTCAATAACCAAGCGATTTATTTGTGAGTGGATTTTATAAGTCGATGAAGCAAACGCCTGTATATTTTCAATATAGAATACATTCAATATTTAATATTCATTCTCTTGCATCTGCTGGCCAGTCATATTTAATCCAGAATGTCCAGATTGGCATCTAGACGCCGACACTAATGGTTGTTTACACAAAATATCGCTTTTCTTTCGTTTATAGAACGCGCAAGGGTAACTTTATCCAGGATTTTCCTCATTTTTCCTTTTTTCGCCACAAATCGTTGCTACTCACAAATAATTTCTTCCTATTTCACTTTTATCAGTGTTTAATTATGTTTTTTTGGTGCTAAGAACGTCAGGAATGATTCTCGTAAAACAAAAAAGTTTTGTTGCGCATTTAACTGCGGTTTTAACTTGCAGTAACTCCTTTTACTGCCGCACTTTGACATGTTTTTTACTTTATAAATCATATTGATTGCAACGTAACTACTTATATTCAGAAATATGAGCATACAAAAGAACAGTAGCTGACAATTAAAGCCGAAAGTACAATTTATTAATATTATCACAAGCGTATCATGTCTTTTTATGACGGTATTACAAAAATTATATTTGTTTGGTAAATACAGATTGTCGCCAGTTGTAAAGATATCTAGAAAATTAGCAGCAAAACCACAGTTGTACTGTTAAACTGTGTAGAATTATGTTGACTGGAAGAGGACCAGTTGGGACTCATGTGACGCGGTAAGGCCGATTTGGTTTGTTTCTCCCTATTAGTAAAATATGGTTGTTCAAGAGAAAAGAAGAACATACATCGAAGAATGATCAAGAAAAACGGCCTTTGTAACGTAAAACAGCCGAGATCTCATCGCCAAAGATTCTTCGTTCTTAGTTACGAAAAACTAGTGGATTCCTCATGGACTACCACCCTGTCCATTTTCCTAGCCGTTCTCTTCCTTAGCTGGACGTGCTTTGCAATCTTCTACTGGCTGATCTGCTTCACTCATGGCGACTTCGAACCAAATCACTTACCGGAGGTGCAAAAAATCAACCATTATAAGTAAGACCTCAACAGGCAGGTGTAGACCAAAGCAACTAAACGTACATTTTTAGACCGTGTATTTATGATATGAGGGGCTTTTCTTCAGCATTTCTGTTCAGCATGGAAGCTCAGCACACCGTCGGATATGGCATCAAGGCTCCAACTGATCAATGTGCAGAGGCAATTTTTGTTAATTCCATCCACTGTATTATAGGTTTTATTATGCAGGTAATTTTATTATTAATCTAAGTTCAGAAGATTTTCTGCTGGATTAGTGAACAATCAAGTTAGAGGAACGATGGATAGTGACGGTTTTGGTTACTATTTTTTCAATTTTTTTTATTCAAATATAGCGCAAATCGTCTTCTCCTATTTTTATCTGCAACTGATGCTCTAGACAAAGAATTTCTTCCATAAGCAAGACATTTCTTGCTGTTGCTTCTTCATCGACTTATAATACATCGATCATCGATAATGACTTTATTAAGTTTTTCTTTCTATAGTTGCGTTCTCGTTACCACACGTTTGTTAATAAATCACGCTTTTGTTAGAACTGCTGAAATATTTTTTTAAGTTAAAAAAATTGTAACTTATTCATTTTGTTTCGTGATTTTTTGCAGACATTTAAAAAACACCACCAGGATCAAAGTTTTAGAGATTTTCAAGCGAACAACTCTGATTTAACCTTAGAATCACTCTGTAGCTCTGCAACAGTATATGATATTAAAATGCGACTTTTGGAGCATAAAATCTGCACACTGGTCCCATGCATATTCTGTTTTAAGAATCTCCATGAAAAGAAGCCATTAATGTGCAAAAATGAGGTTTTTTAGGGCTTTATGGCAGCTGTAATATTTTCCAAAATGACCAAACCCAGAGTGCGGTCGCAAACGTTGATGTTTTCAAAAAATGCCACAATTTCGCCGCGAAACGGAAAATTATGTTTGATGTTTCGAGTTGGCGACATTCGTCCGCGATACATAAATCAAACAAAAGTGCGACTGTTCCTGGTAAGGCCACATTAAATATGAATTCTTTGTTGAAACATATCATGGTTGAAACTGCAGATAAAGTCGATGAAAACTAGAGAGGAAGAAACCCTTCCCCATACGCAGACCGAATTGAAGACGCACATGGATGGTTGTTCTAGAAGCATTTTCTTCAATTGGCCCATTGTTATGTACCATATACTCGATCAGAATTCTCCCCTGTACTATTTGGCACCCAGTGATTTATGCCAGCAAAGGTAACTGTGAGGAATTGACTGAGCGAGTAGCTCCTTGAAGTGGTTTCAGGTTTGAAATTATGGTGATAATAGAAGGAACAGATGAAAACATCGGCCAGGTCACTCAAGCAAAGTCCAGTTATATGCCCAAGGAAATCCTATGGGGTTACAGGTTTGAAAACCTAATAAAATTCGATGAGCTACGTGAGGAATACGAGATAGATTTTTCGAAATTCCACGACGTTACGCCGGTAAACACTCCGTTATGTTCGCCTGTTTATTACGAACAGTACGCGAAAATGCAGAAAAATATACTCAGTAAGTCTAGTGAATTGTCCTACAACTGGCTGGTCACTTTAAAGGAAGAAATCTGATTTTTTCAGATGCTTCTCCATGCTTTACTCTCGACTTTACACCCAGGCACAGTTTAGGCGAAATACCCACATTTCAGATTTCCCGCATACAGACTGCACAATGTAAAATCTAAATGTAAAAAATATAGCGACTTTTATTCGACTCTAGATCTAAAGCAAAAGTTAGCAGTGAAAGTAAGGAAAACATTTTAAATTTGCAGGCGAAGCATTTCTGGGGTGAAAATTTACCTTGATTTTTAGATACTATTGAAAGTGTTAGTATACAGGATGGAAAAAGTTAGAGAGTTTAAGTTGGGAAATTGAATTCAGACTAACTCTAGATGGTGGCAAAACCTCTAGTTGTTACTACTGAATAGGCCATGAAAGTGCGCTCAGAACCGCGATTAATTTTTGGCTCGTGTTTAGAAAACTGTTAGAGTAGCAGAGCTTTACTTGATAATACTAAACAGATCAATAGAGTGCCATCTATTTCATATCAAACATAAATTTTACAAAAATTTGTAATAATGTCAGGAAGCAAAAATTGTCCATTTCTTAAGACCGCGCTTAGTTTTAGGCTCGTACTTAGAGATCCGTTAGAGTAACAAGCCCGTACTTAACAGTGCTGAATAGAACAGTAAAGCGTGCTCTTTTTCATATAAACAATCATTTCATAAAAATTTCTAATTAGCTCAGGAAATGAAAAAGCGCAAAAGTTGTCACTATTTTTTAAACCGCGCTTAGAGATTCACTAGAGTCACATACCTCTAGTTGTTACTGCTGAATAGATCATTAAAGTGCGCTCTTTTTTAAATAAAACATCATAAAGTAGAAAATTCTAATTGCCTAAGGAAATATAAAAGCGCAAAATTATATTTTTTTTAACCGCGCCTAGATTTCAACTCATATTTTGAAAACCAGTTAGAGTAACAGACTACAGTTAGAGAGACAGTTGTTACTACAGACTCAGGAGACCAAAAAAAAGGAAAATATGCCATTTTTTCAAAAGAGCGCGAGTTTCTGTTGTTTACATGGTCAATAATAATAAAAATAATTTATAATAATAATAAGAATAGAAATAAATTCATAGTCAAAATTAGTTGAAAACCGCATTTCCACAATAAAGACCATTATTAGTGGCTTATTATTGCGTCGTTAAGAGGAATTTTATCTATAAGGTGAGCATAAAACCAGAAAATTGCCGACATTCTTTGTCTGAAAACCGCCGTTTTATGGCAAATTGTTGCAAAGTATAAAATGTATTTTTTACTTCGAATATCGCACCCCTAAGCAGCGTTGTTAGCTAATAAATTATCTATAAGATGAGAATATTGTTAACTTCGAACACAAAGACCTGATAATAAAATAATATTAGATAAGTTCTATATTGTTGAGGCGGATTCATTTTTTTACAAACTTATTTTTGGGTATTTTGCCTCAAAAATTGTTGTCTTTAAAAACGAGAGAATTTCTTCACGTCTTTTATTACAGATTGATAAATAGTGCTCCTATTTCGCAATAAGAACGAATTATTTATCAACAAG